TGTAGTTGTTGTTGTTAATGTTGCTGACAGTGTTGATATTGTTTAAATTATTGTTTGTGTTCCTGTTGTGTATGTTATTATTTAAGTTGTTTTCCGTGTTATTGCTGTTGTTATTGCTGTCGTAGTTGTTGTTGTTACTGATGTTAGTGTGTGCGATGATGTTGTTAATAGTATTAATGTTGTATATTGTGCTGTTGCTGTATCTATCATTGTTGGTGTTGCTGACAACGTTGATGTTGTTTAGGTTGTTGTTGTTTAGTATGCTGTTATTAGTGTTGTTTTCGGTGTTATTTCTGTTGTTATTATTGTTATAGTTGTTTGTATTTACGATGTTGTTGTTAGTGTTTATGTTATATATGGTGCTGTTGTTGATGATGTTTAGTATGCTGTTATTGGTGTTGTTTTCGATGTTATTTCTGATGTTATTATCGTTATAGTTGTTATTATTGTTGTTTGTATTTGCGATGTTGTTGTTGATAGTGTTGATGTTGTATAAGGTGCTGTTGTTGGTGTTGTTCCCGTCATAGCTGTTGTTGTTGGTATTTATTATGATGTTGCTGATATTGTTAAATACTGTATTATTTACATTGTTGATGTTATTGCCCTGTATGTCGTCACTAGATCTGTTGTATATTATGTTATTATTGATAATTCTGTTATCATGTATTTGCTGGTACTGTAGATTTTTCTTAAGGATCTTAAGTATGCGGTCTTGTGAATTTTGTAATAATCTGCAGTGTGATGCATTTCCCCAAGCGGCGATTCCGTGCCTTAAATATGACTCCACTACTGCGAAATAAGCTTGTCGTAAAACATTATACGTTGCACAATTACTTAAATGGTAAAGCATAAAAGCTGACTTGCGCAGTTTCTTTTGGAGATAATCAACATGTGTGTTCCATTTAAAGTTGTTATCTACATAAACACCTAGGTATTTGTATGTTGTCACAAGTTCAATATAGGTGGTGCAGGTATCATTAATGTTATTTATGTTGTGAAGGCAGTTCATATCATGGAACTTGATTTTGATATCGGTATCTATAAAATGTCGCGGCTTAATATGCATAATTTTTGTTTTTTGTGCGTTTATGATTAAACCGTTATCGTGACACCATCTTGTTGCAATATTTAGTTGCGATTGCATTATTTTCATAGCATCGTTAATATTTTCATTAGATACCACAATAGCAGTATCATCTGCATATGCATATGTTGTGTTTCCTTGCAGAGTGTTGATCATATCGTTGGCATACATTATATAAAGGATTGGCCCAAGTTTGGATCCCTGTGGTACACCAAAATCCGTTACTACTTCATCGCTTAAAGAATTGTTGATCTTTACACGATATTTTCTGCATTCTAGATAGTTCTTAAACCAATTTAAAGTTTTGCCTCTTATGCCATTCCTTTCCATTATTTGAAGAAGTCTAAGATGTGACAAAGTGTCAAAGGCTTTGCTAAAGTCAATGAACAACACAAGACAATGCATTTTTTTACTTAGACAGTTATTAATGTAATTAGAAAAGTTTCCTAGAAGATTATTTATACTTCTTCCTTTTTGGAAGCCAAATTGATTTTTATTTATTATTTTATATTTTTCTAAGAAGTTATTTAGTCTTCTTACCACTATTTCCTCTAATACTTTTTCTATTACTGGCAAGATTGAAACTGGTCTATAATTGTTATAGTCTGATTTAGTGCCACTCTTGTATATGGGCCTTATTATTGATGTTTTGATTCCAGTAGGTATTTGACCACTATCTAAACTTGTGTTTGCTAATTTGGTTATTATCGGTGTTAAAGTTCTGGCATTATTTTTTAAATCTTTCGGTCTAATTCCATCTATTCCAGGTCCTTTTCTGATATTTAATGAATTTAGTATATTATATATTTCATTTTCATTGGTATTTTCGACATAAATAGAGTGTTGCAGTGTATTTTCTATGTTATTTAGTGTTTTGATGTGGCAGTTATGTATTATTTTTTTAACATTTGTATTAAAATTAGTAGCAAATTTATTTACGATATTCTCAATACTTTCGTCTTTAAAGTTTTGCGTAATAGAAACATCGATATTATTTGATGTTTTTCCAATTATTTCATTTATAAGTTGCCACGTTATACGAGGGTTATTTCTATTTTCGATGAATTTATTTCTATAATATTTATTTTTCATGTATATTATTTCTTTATTTAATAAGTTTCTATATTTTTTATAATTTTTTTTCATATGTTTTATTATTTTTATTATTTTGCCATTTTTTATAAAGTTTATCACGTATATCACATTTATTTATAAGGTCCTCACTTATCCACTGATTTTTTGTTCTTTGTTTACTTATTGTTTTAATTTTCTCTGATTTTTCATAAATTTCACTAAATTTATTTTGTATATTTTCATATATATCATTAGTGCTTGAGTTTTGATTTATAATCGCATTCCAATTTGTATGTTGTATTAATTTGTTAACTTTATAACTGTTTATACACGATCCCTGAGAATTATTATTGTTTTTCGAACCCTGACTTGATTTTTCTTCTTTGTTTTGACTATTACTATAAAATAGAGAGTAATGATCCGATATTGTTGTTGTTACCACTACTGCATATGGGCTTGAGTTTTTTTGTTTACATTTAACGAACAGATGATCAATGCACGTGTTTGTGTTATTGTTTATATCTTCACGTGTAACTTCTTTTATCATGCATTTTAACCCATTCGACATAATCATATTAAGGTAGTTTGTTGTTGTAATATTCTCTTTTTTAATATCAACATTCATGTCTCCAACAAGTATTATCTCTTGTTTTTTGTTTATATTATTTATTGTTTCATCAAGTTCTGTAATGAAAGCATTAACGTTAAGGGAAGGGGGTCGATAAACAGATATAAGGGAAATCATATTATTGTTTACGTTTAAATCTACTCTTATATTTTCAAATGATTGTGTTTGCAATGGGATTTGAGTGTAGGTGAGACTATCTTTAATGTAAACCATTACACCGCCTCCTCCTCTACAATTTCCATCCTCATCTTTTCTATTTATAAAGAGAGAATTAAACCCATTTATCTTGAACAGGTCACTTTCGGCATCAGATATATTTGTTTCGACAAAGATTATAAGTTGTATGTGGTTAATTATTTTATATATTGTTGCAAGGAATGTGGAAAAGTTTTTCCGTAATGAGCGAATGTTCATATAAATTAACGACAACGGATAACTTAGTATCATTGGAGAAATTTCATTGAAATTGCTTAAAATTTTGTTTGGAATATTCATATTTATAGTTTATTTTTGTATTTAATTAAAGGATTTGTTTTTTTTTTTTCTTTTTCTTTTACATAGATAGATAGATAGATAGATAGATAGATAGATAGATAGATAGATAGATAGATAGATAGATAAGATAGATAGATAGATAGATAGATAGATAGATAGATAGATAGATAGATAGATAGATAGATAGATAGATAGATAGATAGATATAGATAGATAGATAGATAGATAGATAGATAGATAGATAGATAGATAGATAGATAGATAGATAGTAGATAGATAGATAGATAGATAGATAGATAGATAGATAGATAGATAGATAGATAGATAGATAGATAGATAGATAGATAGATAGATAGATAGATAGATAGATAGATAGATAGATAGATAGATAGATAGATAGATAGATAGATAAGATAGATAGATAGATAGATAGATAGATAGATAGATAGATAGATAGATAGATAGATAGATAGATAGATAGATAGATAGATAGATAGATAGATAGATAGATAGATAGATAGATAGATAGATAGATAGATAGATAGATAGATAGATAGATAGATAGATAGATAGATAGATAGATAGATAGATAGATAGATAGATAGATAGATAGATAGATAGATAGATAGATAGATAGATAGATAGATAGATAGATAGATAGATAGATAGATAGATAGATAGATAGATAGATAGATAGATAGATAGATAGATAGATAGATAGATAGATAGATAGATAGATAGATAGATAGATAGATAGATAGATAGATAGATAGATAGATAGATAGATAGATAGATAGATAGATAGATAGATAGATAGATAGATAGATAGATAGATAGATAGGATAGATAGATAGATAGATAGATAGATAGATAGATAGATAGATAGATAGATAGATCGATAGATAGATAGATAGATAGATAGATAGATAGATAGATAGATAGATAGATAGATAGATAGATAGATAGATAGATAGATAGATAGATAGATAGATAGATAGATAGATAGATAGATAGATAGATAGATAGATAGATAGATAGATAGATAGATAGATAGATAGATAGATAGATAGATAGAGATAGATAGATAGATAGATAGATAGATAGATAGATAGATAGATAGATAGATAGATAGATAGATAGATAGATAGATAGATAGATAGATAGATAGATAGATAGATAGATAGATAGATAGATAGATAGATAGATAGAATAGATAGATAGATAGATAGATAGATAGATAGATAGATAGATAGATAGATAGATAGATAGATAGATAATGATAGATAGATAGATAGATAGATAGATAGATAGATAGATAGATAGATAGATAGATAGATAGAATAGATAGATAGATAGATAGATAGATAGATAGATAGATAGATAGATAGATAGATAGATAGATAGATAGATAGATAGATAGATAGATAGATAGATAGATAGATAGATAGATAGATAGATAGATAGATAGATAGATAGATAGATAGATAGATAGATAGATAGATAGATAGATAGATAGATAGATAGATAGATAGATAGATAGATAGATAGATAGATAGATAGATAGATAGATTAGATTAGATACATTTTAGGGACTATTTTTCAATTTAAAAATCTGGGATTTTAATTAATATTCGATGGTTTTGACATCTTGCAAGTTTATCTTCATAAAGTTATTGTTGGGTAACATTAAATTAGGAACACTTTCTTAATCTCTGTAAACCCTAAGTTACTAATTTGTCATACAAATTTCATTATTTTTATTACAGATAAAATATTTTTTTAAGAAAATATCTTCTTACATTTGATTTTCATTGTACCTTCAAATGAGTGTATCAAAGGAAAAGCCGAAGTCGTTAAAAAAATTAAGAAAATCTAGAATTTCGGTAAGTTTTAGTTTTAAGTAATAGTCAATAACAGATATGCGGCAGGAAAGTCAAAGTATTTTTTATAAAAATCGGACATTATCTGAACTTTGGAAAATACCGCCAATGAACTTGTAAAACATTAATATTTTAATCAATTATATATTTCCAATAGGAATGCATTAAAGAACCGCAAAGAACTACAATTTTGCCACAACGTGTATTTTTATATTTACATCCCAAATCCATAACATATCCATCCGATGATATTCGTTTGGATGGAAAGTTGGAAATTGAAGTTGAACATCAATATAATACCATAACAACCTTAAGTGATCATTTTATGACAAGAAATGTGATACAAGTGGACCAGTTCGAAAATGAAAAACCTACATTTAGCATTACCATAGAACAAGATAGTTTACAGGATATAACAAATCTAAGTGATGCGCCAATTATTCTCACCCTATATATTTATACTAAAAGATTGTCAAATACTTCCCAACTTTCAGAGCAAGTTATCTCCGAAGAAGAAAAAGATGAAAGTAGCGAATGTGTACCAATAGCTCAGGGTTTCATTGATGTAATGGAATATTTTAATAAAAAACGTAGTCATGGTATTGATACCATATATTTGTATCCCTTGAAAACTTACGCTGAAACCATGACTTGGAAAACCGTATGGGAAATATATTCCTTACATCCACTTTTGAAAAATGTTGAATTTACAAATGTCCTCTTTATAAATTTCGGTTCTCTTTATAATATTAACGAAGAGCTTATGGAAGATTGTGATGATTTGGTGGCAAAAATTTCATTTATATCCAAATTTCCCAATGAAAATAATGTATTTGATAAAATATTTATTTGTAAATTTACAACATTTTACAAAGACGTTATTTCCTTGCAAAACTTATCGAAAAAATGGGAATCGCTGAAAAATAAAGAAATCGAAAATAGCAATAGTATGGGCATAGCAACGGATTCGAAATTTCATTTACACCATTTATTCAACAATCTTTTCTGCACAGAAAATGTGCAATTAAATATTGAAAATATAAATATAACAGAAGATTTTGCCTTAATTAGTAATTCAATGCATCGTTATATATTGACGGATATAATGCAAAAAACATTGGAACAGATATTGTCCCTAAATCAATATCAGATTATTCTTGAAATCTATAAAGAACGGGAGGAAAATATAGTTTTATTACAAGGTTATATAGATTTGTCGATATTTATGTATCCGGAAGGTAAGACAATCATTTTTACTGGTAGCTTAATGAGCAAAATGTGCCAAGTCCATTTCAAATTTTGTAAGAACAAAAAAAAATTAAACGGTTTGTTTTTGAAATTCTCTGTTAACTCAGTTTTCTTCTTTAATTTGTCTTTTATAAAAAGTAATGAATTTATATTTTTGGTGTAGACCTAGTAACATTTTTTGTAAAATATTCCAGATGTATGTACCAACTAAATCATATTTCTTTTAATTATACAGTGAGAATAGTCCCTTTTGCCATTGATTTAAGGCCACCAAATTTCCAAGTTTCTCAAAAAGACGCTATAAAAAATCCTAAAGACAAACGTAAAAGTCGAAATAAGTCCAATGCTCAAGAGCTGACCGACAAAAATATACCCTTCGCTATTATACAATTTTGTCTACATTCGCCTATAACCAATCCTATACAAGAAATGAATCAACCAACTGGACATAAGTCCAAACGGCATAAATATAGTCATTGTACGACCACAATATTAACAAAAACTACCCAGAAAGATTTGGCCATCAAATGCGAAGAAAATTATAGAGATTTTGATGATTTAATACGCGAAATATTGGATTATATGATTATAAATCAAATTAAAACCTTGAATGATGATAATGAATATTTTTGCCATCAGTTGGGCAATCTAGCTAATAAAATAATGAAATTGGTTGCATGTGATTTTAATATAAAAACGTCAACAAAAACTAATATTGAATTTACGGTAAGAGTTGCACATTTAAAAACAGATTTGTTATACGAATATATCTAGAAGATATTCGAATACTTCTGAAAATATAAAGTAACACTTAACAGAGTCTGTTTTTAAATTAATAATCAGATTAGTTAATCTACTGTTATTCATGCAATTCAAAATTATTGTTATTTAAACTTAATATTTTTTTAAGAATCTTCTAACTAAGGTTTATCGTGAATTGATGTCTCGTATTAATAATTACCTAAATAAATGTGGTTTCAACGATCTGGAAGATTGTCTTCTAACAATGAACGCTATAGAAACTGCTATGCTAACAAACATGAGTATGGCTAAATATTTATACGAAGTGGGAGGGAATATAGAAATGGCCGAATTTATTACGAATAAATTACGCTCAGAATATTCTAATAATTTAATATTGGACTTTTACGTGTTTTTATATGATATTGAAAGACAAAACTTTGAGTTAGTTAAAGCATATTTAGATAAACCCTTAGATGAAAAAGATAATCAGGCGGAAATATTTGCGTAAGTTAAAAAAATTTTAAAAAAATATTATTATATATTATTTTATTTTCTATCTAATCTCACTCAAATCCATTTCAATTTTCTAATCAACAATACAGTGAACTAATTCAAATTTATGTTAACTATAAATTACAATTACAAGATCCTGAAGAATCTTCCAACGCCGAAGAGTTTTTAATAAAAGCTTTAATCAAACATAATATGAATCACAATCCAAAATCATTAACGGGCTGGATATTATTATATTGCGTATATAAAAAATATAATTATGCACCCGGCATGGCATATTGTCGCTGGAAGTACGAAAATCTTTATAATCGTTTATTTGTTAAATTGGATTTTATACCCAAGAGTCGTTGGGAAATCTATATGCCTCATAAAATGAAATTAAAATCAATAAAAGGTCAAAACTATATTAAAGTTTTTGAGACACTATTGCGTTTGGGTTTATATAATTTTGCCGAATGGGTTTTTGCCGAAATAGCGGAAGAATGTATGGAAATTGAAAGATATTTTGTATCAAGTACATTTACGATTTTAAACAATAATCTGGAGAAGTTCTCGTTAAAAACATTTTCAGTGGATAAACTAATAAATTCCTTGCATATGGTATATATATTTTTGAAAATTAAAATTTTGAAAAATCCTTAATTTAGTTATAAAATAATTTAGAGTGCAGTGTTAGCTCTAGTTAATGGTAATTTGGAATACTTAAAAGAAGCTAATAGTCCAGCTGCTATCAATCAGTATCAAAAGTTGACAGAATTAGAAGATTTGAAAGACTTGAAACTTTATCAATTAGGTTTATGGCGCTATGCCTATACCATGATGGAAGAGCAAAGGTATGAGGAAGCTAGACAGATTTTTCGTACTTTTTGTAAAGAAAATGTTAATTGTATGGTGGCGGCTATTGAAAATGGAAAAGCTTCTTACTATGTAAGTATATTTAAAATTAAAGCCCTTAATAGAAAACATACATACTATATTCTTAAATAACCAGTTATTTTTACCTTACTCATATTAATAGTTTTAGAATTCGATTTCTTTTTACTCTTTTGACAGCTTGGTCAATTAGATGAATCTGCAAAATACTTTGCCTTGAGTACTCAATATGGCATGTATATGCCGAATACTTGGGCTTATCTGGCGCTTATTAATCTAAAATGTGGCAAAAATTATAATGCTCTAGAATGTTGGAAATATGCTAGATTGAACCAAGATACGGAAATTTGTAAAGAAGTCATAAATGAATTGAATAAAATTAATACTAGCGAAATTTGTCTTTATGTAGATGTCCCAAATAAAACATAAATTAATTATCTATCTATCTATCTATCTATCTATCTATCTATCTATCTATCTATCTATCTATCTATCTATCTATCTATCTATCTATCTATCTATCTATCTATCTATCTATCTATCTATCTATCTATCTATCTATCTATCTATCTATCTATCTATCTATCTATCTATCTATCTATCTATCTATCTATCTATCTATCTATCTATCTATCTATCTATCTATCTATCTATCTATCTATCTATCTATCTATCTATCTATCTATCTATCTATCTATCTATCTATCTATCTATCTATCTATCTATCTATCTATCTATCTATCTATCTATCTATCTATCTATCTATCTATCAATAAACAATGTTTGCTTCCATTACATTTTCAAAAATTTAACGTTCTTAAGGTTTCTAAACTATTTCATTCCTTTCTGTTCCTCTCTATTACTTTTCTCTGCCACAAACAACACAGCGTCGCAACATATGACAACTTACCTTTAAATACAACCCTCCATATTCAGCAAAATTATCTAACTGCGTTTTTTTTTTCATCAAGCAGACATTTTGGTATTTCGTGACTATGTTGTGAAGAAAGAAAAAATATTACAGTTTTTTGTGTGAAAAAAGAAGTAAAAACAAATATCAAATAGTTTAACTAAACAAATATTTAAAGTAACATCTTATCAAACAATAAAATCCACCTATTTATTAGTTTTAAATATAAACAAATTCTTATTTACTTTTGAAAATTTCAAAGACAAGACAACAAATACACATATTGAAGGTTGTTGGTGCAATTGAAAAGTACAATTCTAGAGAAAAAAAGAAGAAATACGGAACAATTAAAAGCAAAAACAAATAAAAACTAAAATGGTATCGAAGAAGAATTTCCAACAAAATGGCAGAGTCAATCAGCAGCAGAGACAAATGCCATATAAGAAACCACCCTTAAAACCACCGATGATGCAAAATTTCAATAACCCCATGTTTAATGTCAGTCAAATACCTGACAATCCTGGTTATTTAGATTTTAATTTACCCACACCACCGACTTTGTCAAATAATGCGACAGGTAATGGGTCTGCTGCTAACAATAAGAATGCCAATGGTAATGCTAATGCGGCCGGCACAGGAGCAGGCCAAAACAATAAAAAGAAGAATAACAAAAACAAACAGAGAAATAAACCACAGACACAACAACAGATGGGACAACAGAATGGTGGTGGCAATTGGAAAAATAAGAATCAACAAGGTGGGGGACCAATGAATCAACGTTTTAATGGTGGTGGTGCAGGACGCAATTTCCAGCCTATGGGTAATCGCAGGAGTAGTCGTTTGATGGGACCCATGGGTGGTCCGCGGGGAATGGGTATCATGGGCCCACAAATACCACCACCAATGGGTTTCCAGCCACCCATGATACCGCCGATGCCACCAATGGGTCGTGGTGGTCCTCCTCTACCACCCATGGGTGCACCTGTACCACCACCATTTTTGAGACGCGGTAATGGTCCTATGCCACCACCCATGCCCCCTATGCTGCCGCCCCGTATGGCACGCGGTATGCCACCCGTCCCCTTTAGCGCCCCCATAGCCGGCCCTGGTAAAATTAACAAAAAGGGCAAAGTTAACAAAAAAGTTACGAAAGGCAAGAGTACCATTAAAACTTTAAAGAACCTAATCAATCAGTATCCATTAGATAAACCATGGGTAAATGATGAGATACGTGGGGAGCATGACAAAAAAGTCGATATTGAAAATCGTCTGAAAGGCAATAAAGATGATGAACTGTTTGCTCAATTCAAGGTACAACGTGATAAATTTGTAGCAATGTATGAGGCTGCTCGTGAAGAGTATTTAAAGAAAGAGGCTGCTGCAGTTAAAGCAAAGGTAAGTTGAGTCCTTAATTTGTTTTTTGGTTTTCCGTTACTAAGTCGTAAATTTGTCTATGATTTTTATATCTTGTATTATATAAAATAATCTTTGCATTAACATACAATTTCGAAATGAAGGAAAATAAAAAGAAAAGGTTTATTGCACAAATAGTGTGTTAGTAATGAACTGCTAGAAAGTTGTTGACAACATTGTAAGTCCTTTTTGTGATGCGAGAGGAATCTATCTAAAAATTTTATTAAAGGAATTACATAGATATATATATAGATAGATAGATAGATAGATAGATAGATAGATAGATAGATAGATAGATAGATAGATAGATAGATAGATAGATAGATAGATAGATAGATAGATAGATAGATAGATAGATAGATAGATAGATAGATAGATAGATAGATAGATAGATAGATAGATAGATAGATAGATAGATAGATAGATAGATAGATAGATAGATAGATAGATAGATAGATAATAGATAGATGGATAGATAGATAGATAGATAGATAGATAGATAGATAGATAGATAGATAGATAGATAGATAGATAGATAGATAGATAGATAGATAGATAGATAGATAGATAGATAGATAGATAGATAGATATATAGATAGACAAATAGATAGATAGATAGATAGATAGATAGATAGATAGATAGATAGATAGATAGATAGATAGATAGGTAGATATATATATATATATAGATAGATAGATAGATAGATAGATAGATAGATAGATAGATAGATAGATAGATAGATAGATAGATAGGTAGATAAGATATACATTAAGCGAATACCGATGTAAATATTTCCCAAATCCTCTTCGATTTTCGACAATTTATCGTTCCCCAATTTTGACCAATTAGGTTTGGTTTAGGGCGGACATTTTTAAACTTTTAATATTCTTTATTACTTTTTTACTGCACCTACATTTTTAATCTATTTCTTTTTATTTTTCTTTTTTTTTATTAACACTAAACAAAAAGTTAACAAGAAAAAGGTTAATTTTCATTTTTAATTTTCTTTTGAATAAAACTTTTTACAGGATGAAAAAGACAAACAAACAAATAATACAACCAAAAAGGACGATAAAAAAGAAGCAAAATCAAATGATACTAAAACTAAAACAGTTTAAATGATTTAACACGAGTAAATACGAAAAAAAAAAACTTTTTGAAAAAGTATTTTTTAAAAGTAGTAGAGAGCTTCAGTATCAAATAATAAACAAAAAAGTAAAAAACAAATTAAACAATACATAATCAACCACCACCCCACTTACATCTCTTTTTTTCTTAAAATAGAGTCGAAGCATCAAATAATTATAGTAAAAATAAAGATGAAGTATTTTCGAATTAAGAACTTTAAATGCTTAAACTTAAAAAAACCAACAACTTTAAAATATTAATAATAATTAATGTGTCTCTGTCTATTTATTAATAATAAAATAAAAATAATTAATTAAATGTAACAACAAATCTTAAAACCAACAAATAATGATAAATGGATGATGTTTTCTAACATCATTTTTTTGCAAACTAAAAAGAAACTGCAATTGTTTTAAGTGCAGCACTTTGCTGTTTAACTGATAAAAGAAATTATTATATACAAAGATTAAATAAAATAAATATTAATAAATTTAAGTCCTAAATTTTTGATGATGATGATGATTTGTGTTTACATAAACATAAACTCTCTCTATCTATATAATAATTATAATAAATTTGTAAACTGAACAAGAGTAACTATTTATTAAATTCTAAAGTTTGAAGAACAATTTAAAAATCATAATATAAATACTAATAACATAGTTTTTTGCTATTTTTTGAAATATGTATTGTATACTACTCATTATTTGTAAAACATTGGTGAAAACTAATTTAATAACTCTTTGAAAAGCAACCAAATGTTACAACTAAATTAGTGTGTTTGAAAATTGTAAATTAAAATAAATTTGCTTATCTTTTGCTAAACGTAATATTTGACGGTTTTCTTTTTCAAATTTGTCCTGACAAAACCGTTAGATATACGATTATTTTTTAAAAAAATTTTGTTGAAAAACTAAGTTACCCTTAAGGAGTGAAGAAACTGCATAATAATTAACTCCTACTTTTTTTGCTTGTAACAAATTTGTTTTGATGATGGTGGCAACAAATGAAGAGCTCTTTTTAAATTTGTATTGTTTGTCTTAATTTTTCCAACATATTTGAAGAAGATAAAGAAAAACAAGTTAAAATTATCTCATGCTAAATATATTTTTTTTCGTAAAAAACAATTATTACGTTTTTACAAATGCTATGCTAATTTTGGCTTGTTCTTTTTTTCCTTTTTGCAACAATCTATCTAACCACCTATTTAATATTTTATTAAAATTTAGTATGTAATTTAAATAAATATAAAATTAAATAATAAAAAAAATCATAAAAATATAATTTAAAGCATTTTCTTTTTGCTCTTATTTGAGATTCAAAAGTAAGTACATATGTATGTTTAAAATGGTAGAATTTTTGAACAAATACTTCGCACTCCGTATGTTATTATAACATCTGTGCTTTGCAATGGTTGAATGATTGCAGCCCAGCAACTAGCAAGCCTAGACTTACTAGCAGATTGTTTCTTAATAATTCTGCAGAAACAGCTCACACTCTTCTTCCACGGGATGTTTAACCAGTAAAGTCAAGAACTAGGCTAAAAACTTAGTCCGGATGGTATCTCTATCCGCAAAAAGCTTTGTGTCTTCTCTAAGTTAATGCCAAAGATATTGGCTATAAGCTAGAATAATCCGCCCGATTCTCGATTTGCTGTTATCTATCCCTATTCTAAAACCAGACAAAACAGCTTCTCAAGAATCTTGTCATCTAGAATCACTATTGTTACCGTCTCTAAAGGAGCATTTCCTACTCGCCACACATCAGCGTGATTTCATAAAAGCGCAGTATGTAACTACTGCCATACATGGATAAGGAGACCAGCAGTTGATAGCTCTCTTCTTAATTGCTCAGACCCAATATATAGACCCCTTATCTCTGTGACACACAATGGTGAGTATTGCAGATATCCCAAAATAATGCACTCAGAATCGCTATCGGATGTGTCAAGATGACAAACGTGTATCACTTACATGAGGAAACCAGGATGCTGTCTGTCAAGCAACATAATGTGTTGCTGGCTAGACGATTCCTGATGGCATGTCATCTGTCATCCCAACTATCAACTAAGATCGTGATGGTGTACCGGCTTAAACTCGTATTGGTCGAGAATAAACGACCTCATCTCTGTCCTGAGTGAGGCACAGTCCCATGAAAAGTTGGAATCCGAATCCTATAAATGCCTGACTTGGAAAACAAGAACAAAGAAGAAGAAGAGTATGGAATAATTTAATAATATAACAACAACCATCAAATTTTGATGGAATATCACCTCCGCCCCTCGACACCTTCGGTCAGACTTTTGTTGGTTTATTAAGACTAGGACGTCATCCCATCTGACGTCGACAATAAAATCACAGGAGGCATTGCACCAAATGGCGGTCACAGAACCCATTAACATTACCAGGCAAACTCACTTAACACTCGCTAAGAGCCGGTTCCCAAGCAGTGTTCAAAAGAAAGAATAGTTCCAGGCACCCTTAACCCATGACCTGCTTGTCTCCAAAGCCCCCATGTTACTGGGCATCTTTTTAACTGTCCTCATAGGTCCACAAACTTAAATACCATAGACATATGGTTAGGTTAGGTTGATAGGAGGATGTATACTATATCAAATCCGAAGAAATACACCTAGGCCATTATCGGGCCTGTTGTGCGCTCCAATTCATGAAAAAAAAAAAATGGTTCACTGAATGTATTATCTTTCCATGTTCAGAAACTCAGTTTCCTGGACGTAATTCCTAAGAATCTTAAGAATGTTATTTCCGGAATAACATCACTTCCAAGATACTTGGATCTAACTTCGACGTATGCCTGACAGTGGCAAAGAAAGTGCTCCAGAGTTTCACTGTCTCTCCACATGCTCTACATTCGTCTGAATACGCACGTCCAATTTTGTATAGATGTGTGTCCACTCAGAATACTAACCTCAGACTTGCTCATTTTGAGGAGATTTCTCGTCTTACTCTCATCAGGGTCACCCCACAGAATCTTTGTGGTTCTACCCACCGTTTCATTATTCCAAGAGGCCTTATGGGATTCTCTCATCCATATTTTTAATTCAGCTTTTGTTGCGTCGAATGGTTTTGCGTTTGTCAGGTTAACTACATCGAGCTCCCTTCCCTTTAAAGCTATTACATTCGCCGACTGAGGTGGCACAATTTATCCAGATTCCATTACCATCACAAGACATTAATAATAATTAATTCATTGAATATCACAGCGAATCTGTTACAACAACAATAACTCGTGCCCTACGTTCTCACGAAAATCAGTTCTTTGCACCGAAATGACCCAGAGTTCAACGTCCAAGGAGCAACAGATATCTTCATCGGACAGATAGCTTCATTGCCCCCTGTTGCGCCAATAGGTCACTTATCTCTTCATTGTCATCAATATCGACCAAATTCGTTAGCATTACCACCCTCCTAACATCAAATCCAATAGCAACGCTGGCCACAACAACACTTGCAACCACTAACAAATTCATATAATTAGACCTAAAGTCAGGATATTAATGCAATTTATTTGTAACGGACTCCATAATAAGAATACACGATTTATGCAGCTTTTGAAAGGAGCAGAGGTGCCACAGATACTCCCACTATAGAATTATTAGTGGGGGTATCCGTGTCATGTCCTGTGTATACGTCCTGACAACCTTTAGTTTTATTATCTGAAAAAGTCAGACTGGATAGGTTTTAAGCGAGTTTAACAAACAAGGTACTCCAGTATCTAGCCTTCAGCACTTGAGGAATGTGCGAAGAAGATACATTGCTACCTACCTATCAAACGATTAAAACTGTTCAGTGTTACTCTAAGTAGCGCCTGTGTAGACTTCGAGAGTTAGCTACACGCAGTGGAGAAAGCTCCAAAGCTGTCAAAACGCCGCCCTTAGAACCGTAACGGGCTTTCTTCAAATGTCGTCTTATATCGCCGATCGTGACTCAGAGTTCGATTATATAAATGTGATATTTCTTGCAATCCCAAATATCACGACAGGCGCAACATCAGGAACAAATAAAATAAACGTTCACATAATTTTTTATCGAATTGTTATATTTTTTTTTTTGCAAAAATCTTTATGTTTCCAACATAAACATGGATAGAAATAAATAAAATGTACAACACTTTTTAAAACTTAATTTACTTGGGTCCCAACATGTCTTGTGGTCTGACCCATTGATTGAATTGTTCCTCAGTAAGATAACCCAATTTAATGGCTTCCTCCTTCAAGGTGGTGCCATTCTTGTGAGCAGTCTTGGCGATTTTAGCGGCCTTATCATAGCCGATATGAGGATTCAAGGCGGTAACCAACATAAGGGATTCGTTCATGATTTTGTTAATACGTTCGGTATTGGCTTGGATGCCCTGTACGCAATTGGCAGTGAAGGTGCGGCTGCCATCAGCTAAAAGAGATAAGGAGAAATGTTATAAAATTTAGAATTAAATTAATAATGACTAAACAAACTTACACAACAAACGAATGGAACGCAAAACATTGGAGACAACCAAAGGCTTGAAAACATTCAATTCGAAATGACCATTTGAGCCACCTACGGTAACAGCAACTTGATTACCCATAACTTGGGCAGCTACCATGGTCATGGATTCACACTGAGTGGGATTTACTTTGCCAGGCATAATAGAGCTACCAGGTTCATTTTCTGGCAACATTAGCTCACCCAAACCGCATCTGGGACCAGAACCCAAGAAACGAATATCATTGGCAATCTTCATTAAGCTGACAGCAATTGTATTCAAAACACCATGTACCTCAACCATGGCATCACGACCAGCCAAAGCTTCAAACTTATTGGGGGCGGTTACAAATGGCAAACCAGTAAGTTGGGCAATTTTAGCGGCGCATTTTTCGGCAAAACCAATGCGTGTGTTGAGGCCAGTACCGACAGCAGTACCACCCAAAGCCAATTCATAAACACGTGGCAAACAGGCATCAATACGATCCAAAGCATAATTCATTTGTTGAGTATAACCACTGAACTCCTGGCCCAAAGTCAAAGGTACCGCATCCATGGTGTGGGTACGGCCAATCTTAATGATATTTTGGAATTCATCGGATTTAGCTTTCAAGGCATCGCGCAAAATCTTAATGGCAGGCTTAAGATTATTGTTCAATTCCAAAGCAACAGAAATATGAATGGCAGTGGGGAAAGTATCGTTGGAACTTTGCGATTTGTTAACATGATCGTTGGGGTGAACAGGGTCTTTGGAGCCCAATTTACCACCCAGCAATTCAATGGCACGGTTGCTGATAACCTTAAAGGGGAAAATTTAAAAAAGTGAGGGATTTGTTTTAAAATTAAGATCATGGAAGTCCGAACAAAATGTTTTTGGCTTTAAATTTTTCATAATTGGTCAAGATCCAAAATAAATAATGGACAAAAGTAACCGACAAAGTTATAAAGTTCGAATGAAACGGTAAACTTTTCTTTAAATAAAACATTAAAAATTTTGTTTAACTAATAATTTACTATTAAAATATTTACTGAAAATCTTGATAAGATTCCTCGGCTTTTTATTTAAATAAATTATTTCACTCACCTCATTAACATTCATGTTACTTTGAGTGCCGGAGCCGGTTTGCCAAATAACCAAAGGGAAGTGATCATCATAAAGCTTTCCTGAGATTACATCATCAGCAGCCTTTGAGATGGCTTCACTAATTTTAGGATCCAAACCGAATTCTTTGTTAACTTCAGCAGCAGCCTTCTTCAAAATACCCATGGCTTGGACAACAGGTTTTGGCATACGTTCGGTGGGACCACCAATGGGGAAATTGATTTGGGAACGCATAGTTTGAGCGCCATAGTATTTATCGGCTGGTACCTTCAGTTCACCAAAGGTATCAGTTTCAATGCGATAGTCAGCACAAGCCTACAAATAAAAATGCAGTTGAAAAAAAACACATTAAATAAAAAATTAACTTTAATTATATAAAATATTCCATAAAAATAAATCTAATCGCTTAAAATCTCTCACCATTTCTTGAGGTTGTTTTGTATAAAACTGATCAAATGTGTTAATAATTTATTTTATTAAGCGAGTGACTTTTGTCGGCGCGCAAACGAGTATAATTTACCATATAAACTCAAGAGATAACATTATTATTTTTATTCAGGTTTATAGTCCATATCAAGTTCTAAATGAGTATGTTTGTAATTGTTTTTGTTTTTAATGTACTCTGAGGATTAACGTTTAGAATTTGTTGTTATAAATTTGCTAAAAAAATGTTTGCTCAAATGTTTTCGCAGCCTAAATATTTGAATAAAATACTTATTCTCATTAATAAAAACCGGTTGTATTGATTTTTAAAATTTAAATTGTTAATTTTGTTTTTTTTTTAACACACGAAAAAGCAGCTTTGTTTTCGTTTATTATTTAAATGCATTTAGTAGTGTTATAGTGTAAATTGAAAATAAATTGCTATCAGTGTAATACAATAGCAAAAGCATTCGAGCGTATAAATAATGTTAACCCTTTGGGGGAACTATTTAACTTTTTAGTCTAGTCTATAGTCTTGCTTATAGTTAAGTCTTTAGTCTAGTATATAGTTTAGTCTAATCTACAGGCTAGTCGGCAGTCTAGTCTATAGTCTAGAATATAGTCTAGTCTATAGTATAGTCTATAGTCTAGTCTATAGTCCAGTCAATAGTCTAGTCTATAGCCTTGTTTATAGTCTTGTCTATAGTCTATATCCTTGTCTATAGTCTAGTCTTTAATTTTGCCTATAGCCTAGTATATATCCTTGTCTATAGTCTAGTCTATAGTCTAGTCTATAGTCTAGTCTATAGTCTAGTCTATAGTCTAGTCTATAGTCTAGTCTATAGTCTAGTCTATAGTCTAGTCTATAGTCTAGTCTATAGTCTAGTCTATAGTCTAGTCTATAGTCTAGTCTATAGTCTAGTCTATAGTCTAGTCTATAGTCTAGTCTATAGTCTAGCCTATAGTCTAGTCTATAGTCTAGTCTATAGTCTAGTCTATAGTCTAGTCTATATCCTTGTCTATAGTCTAGTCTATAGTCTTGTCTATAGTATAGTCTATAGTATAGTCTATAGTCTAGTCTCTAGTCTAGTCTATAGTCTAGTCTATAGTCTAGTCTATAGTCTAGTCTACAGTCTAGTCTATAGTCTAGTCTATAGTCTAGTCTATACTCTAGTCTATAGTCTAGTCTATAGTCTAGTCTATAGTCTAGTCTATAGTCTAGTCTATAGTCTAGTCTATAGTCTAGTCTAGTCTAGTCTATAGTCTAGTCTATAGCCTAGTCTAGTCTATAGTATAGTCTATAGTCTAGTCTATAGTATAATCTATAGTACAATCTATAGTCTAGTCTATAGCCTAATCTATAGTCTAGTCTATAGTCTGGACTATAGTCTAATGTATAGACTAAACTATAGACTAGAATATAGAGTAGACTATAAATTACTACTGTATAGTCTAGTCTATAGTCTAATCTATAGTTTAGTCTATAGTTTATTCTATAGTTTAGTCAATAGTCTATTCTATAGTCTAGTCTATAGTCTAGTATATAGTCTAGTCTATAGTCTAGTCTATAGTCTAGTCTATAGTATAGTCTAGTCTTCGGTCTAGTCTATAGTCTTCGGTCTAGTCTATAGTCTTCGGTCTATTCTATAGTCTAGTCAATTGTCTAGTCAATAGTCTAGTCTATAGTCTAGTCTATAGTCTAGTCTATAGTCTAGTCTATAATCTAGTCTATAGTCTAGTCTATAGTCTAATCTTTAGTCTAGTCTATAGTCTGGTCTATAGTCTAGTCTATAGTCTAGTCTATAGTCTAGTCTATAGTCTGGTCTATAGTCGGGTCTATAGTCTAGTCTATAGTCTAGTCTATAGTCTAGTCTATAGTCTAGTCTATAGTCTAGTCTATAGTCTAGTCTATAGTCTAGTCTATAGTCTAGTCTATAGTCTAGTCTATAGTCTAGTCTATAGTCTAGTCTATAGTCTAGTCTATAGTCTAGTCTATAGTCTAGTCTATAGTCTAGTCTATAGTCTAGTCTATATTCTAGTCTATAGTCTAGTCTATAGTCTAGTCTATAGTGTAGTCTATAGTCTAGTCTATAGTGTAGTCTATAGTGTAGTCTATAGTCTAGTCTATAGTCTAGTCTATAGTCTAGTCTATAGTCTAGTCTATAGTCTAGTCTATAGTCTAGTCTATAGTATAGTCTATAGTCTAGTCTATAGTCTAGTCTATAGTCTGGTCTATAGTCTGGTCTATAGTCTAGTCTATAGTCTAGTCTATAGTCTAGTCTAGTCTAGTCTATAGTCTAGTCTATAGGCTAGTCTATAGTCTAGTCTATAGGCTAGTCTATAGTCTAGTCTATAATCTAGTCAATAGTCTAGTCTATAGACTAGTCTTTAGTCTAGTATATAGTCTAGTCTATAGTCTAGACTTTAGTCTAGTCTATAGTCTAGTCTACAGTCTGGTCTATAGTCTAGTCTATAGTCTAGTCTGTAGTCTAGTCTATAGTCTAGTCTATAGTCTAGTCTATAGTCTAGTCTATAGTCTAGTCTATAGTCTAGTCTATAGTCTAGTCTATAGGCTAGTCTATAGTCTAGTCTATAATCTAGTCAATAGTCTAGTCTATAGACTTGTCTTTAGTCTAGTATATAGTCTAGTCTATAGTCTAGACTTTAGTCTAGTCTATAGTCTAGCCTATAGTCTGGTCTATAGTCTAGTCTATAGTCTAGTCTGTGGTCTAGTCTATAGTCTAGTCTATAGTCTAGTCTATAGTCTAGTCTATAGTCTAGTCTATAGTCTAGTCTATACGCTAGTCTATAGTCTAGTCTATAATCTAGTCAATAGTCTAGTCTATAGACTAGTCTTTAGTCTAGTATATAGTCTAGTCTATAGTCTAGACTTTAGTCTAGTCTATAGTCTAGTCTATAGTCTGGTCTATAGTCTAGTCTATAGTCTAGTCTATAGTCTAGTCTATAGTCTAGTCTATAGTCTAGTCTATAGTCTAGTCTATAGTCTAGTCTATAGTCTAGTCTATAGTCTAGTCTATAGTCTAGTCTATAGTCTAGTCTATAGTCTAGTCTATAGTCTAGTCTATAGTCTAGTCTATAGTCTAGTCTATAGTCTAGTCTATAGTCTAGTCTATAGTCTAGTCTATAGTCTAGTCTATAGTCTAGTCTATAGTCTAGTTTATACTCTAATCTATAGCCTTGTCTATAGTATATTCTATAGTCTAATCTATAGTCTAGTCTACATTCTATAGTCTAGTCTACATTCTATAGTCTAGTCTACATTCTATAGTCTAGTCTATAATCTAGTCTATAGACAAGTCTGTTGTCAAACCTAAAAAAAACACATGCTTTTCCGGAATTTTGCCCATATTTTCGTTATTTATGGACCCATTTTGAGGAACCTTCTCAAAAGCGTGTTATGGATTCAGAAGTTCGAATAAATACCTATGTACTTTAATTGAAAAATTGTGGAGCGGTTAAAGGGATTTTAAGGTACCTTTTCGAAAGCTTGTTATGGATACAGAAACTAATATTACGGGAATTAAGTTTCCTCAAAAACGATATTCCCAAAAACAAGATAAGTGAGATAGGTATAAAATTCCTACTAGTTAATTTCCGCCATTGATATTTTTATAGCTACTTGATGAATATTTTTCCAATTGGGTATTTTTTAAATTTTATTACAGCTGTTGCCAGCATAAAAAGCCGGTTACAAACACACTTGTACACTAGTTCATATACTAAAAAAATATGTAAAAAGTACTATGTAATTGTATTACCGAAAAAATGCAATGTTTACAAAAGTTTTTTCTGGGCAAATTTTAGCACTACTGAACATAACCTTGTCCAACAAAAATTGCACTCTGCAAACACAATTCTTTATAAAGTAAAGCAATTCTACATACATAAAATAACACATAAATTAACATATTTATAAGTATAAAAGATATTTTATGCAATCATATCTTAATTTTTCGATAAAAAGAATTTCAACAATTACATAATCCTTCTTCTACCAATATAGAGATATAACAAAATTTTCTTTTCCAGACAACTTACCATAGTGGATGTATTAATCCAACGTGTTTTACTCAATTGTTGAACGCCGCGTAGCGAAGAACGTTGCAAAAGTTGGGAAAACATTTTTCGGCTTATTTTTAAACACTGATTTTCCCGATTTTTTTATTATTGTTTTTGTCCTAATCGCCACCGCAGTGAAACTATCCAGAGCCCTGCGCCAACAAATATTAACGACGGCGGCGACTGACACTAAAAATATAGGCGGCGGCTTAAAATCGACTGTAAGCCGGCTAAGTTTTCAACTACGTTTAGTTTTTAAATTTTCAACGATTTTAATAAAAACGGAATCCGAGAGATCAAAAAGTGGGATTTTGGAAGCAAATACATTGTTTATAACAAAAAAATAGAGCAAGCACAAAAGTTGTGTTAGAAATTATGCAGGGATGGATAAAAAATTCTTAAAAATTAAAAACAAATCTTTTCACCAAGTTTTATGAGGATCGGCATACATTTGACCTACCCCCATATAAAACATCTTGCAGAAAATCAGTTTCTAAAAGATTTTGCGTTATTTATTTATTTATTCAGTAATAAAAAAAATCGATTTGGGCAAAATATTGTCTGTTCTCTAAACCGAATACGAGTAATTTTATCGTTAAAAACGAATTCGCATAATTTTTCTCGCTTTAAAACCAAGTACACGTCCGATTTGCAGGACACAAAATTTGGTTTTAAAAGTTTTTCGGTTTTGAAACCGATTCGATTTACAGAACAGACATGAGTAAATACAAGGTGTAAATATTCAATAAATTTCTCTGGGTCTACATACATATATACTCTACATATGTACTTAATTTCATGTTTCTAGGTTCAATATTATAGAACTTGAAAAAGTACCTTTTGTAGAACGAAAAAGTACTTTTATAGGTTCTCACCTAATCCGGACTCTACAAACTTATTATTATTGTTTGATTTAATTTTAAGTTGCCCCCTTAACAGTATGATACCACCTTAGGAGGGATTATTTGGCCTTGAAATATTCATAACGCCGTAACCAATTACGGCTTTCGCCCAAAAGAGCCTCGTCCAAGAACTGCCAATCCGACCTATACCTTCGTATAGGAAGCTGGAACTCCCGAACTCCGCTCCTGAGTTTACCGGTCTCCACCAAAATCCTAAACGAGATTTGTTTGGTACTCCGCCATGTATCAAAGAAATTTTGTCTGTGCATGAACAAAAATCTCAATTTTCGATGAAATTTCCAGAGGTAGTTTCAGATTTTTGCTATTTTCCTTATTTATGGGCCGAATTTGCTGATTTAAACTAGCGTTCTATTCGACCGTATCTCATAGAATTATTGAAAATTCGGATCTCTAAGATATCTGGGTTCTTCTGAAAACTGATTTCAACATACATACGGACAGACAGACGGACATGGCTAAATCGTCTCCGCTATCTATAAGGATCCAGAATATATATACTTTATAGGGTTGGAAAATTATATTATAAAAATTTCAAACGGAATGACAAACGTATATACATATATCCTTCTTACGAAGGTGAAGGGTATAATAATTAAAATGTAAGAGTGTTATATTCGGCTATGCCGAATCTTAAATACGCACCATCAAATCATATGTCGTAAAAAAACAAAATTTCGGAAGTGGTCATATACATATGTATATGGACTTTGATCAATAGGCTAATATGAACGTCAGCATGATTTTCGGAATAGGGACTTCAATGTGGGATTGGTCAATAATGGACCAAGTTCTCCATAATTTAAAGTAATTTATTTTTTATTCTACCATAATTCTATCATAATGATAACTTTTGGAATGATGTATTAGCTATAAATTGATTTTCTGTAAGAAGGTTATATTGCCGGACAGATCCTCATAATTTTAGGCTTCATAAATATAGGTTTCGGTTCCTAGCAGCACATTTTGTATCTGTTGAATATAACATCAAATATTTCCCATAGTTCTAACTTTTTTTAATAAATTATTTTTTACGCGTAACACATGTCCTTCGACGATCACGACACATTACATTTTGTTCCACTACTTTGTTCCATAAAGATTTTTTTTCTTAAAAGGTACATCTACCCCTTTTCTAGTTCCGTGAAGACATTCTCTAAGTGCGAAAATTTGTATAAAAGGAGGCTTAATAATAGTTTCTTGTAAATATTCGGCCACCATAGTGTTTGGAGACAACAAGAGCTTCACTGAAAGGCACACCAGACAGACACTACCATGGGTATATGGTCAATCAATGGTATAATAATAAGTATGTATCCTTGTGGTAACGCCTGGATACGGCAATTAGCGTCCGTCCATTGCCTCTAGGTGATAATATAACAGCTTACCACTAGCCGACCGACCACCACCCGCCTAGGTGACTAGGGAGGTATACAATTGCTACTCTCTTGTGGGCATTCTTCGAGGAGACCATCATGATGCCTCCTCTTTCTTAAAAAGAAAGACTTCTTTAGAGACAAATAATTAAATAGCATCATTACTTACATTTTTTAATCTTCTAGATCTCACAAACAGGCTAAATCAATCAATATTTTTAGTATTTACACTTAAATACTTTTTCAATAAACAAATAAAGAATTTGCAAAAATTGGCGCGAAAACAAAAAATTGCAGAATTTTTCCTTCAAACAGATTTAGTTTGATGTCCCAATGGGACATCATTGGTTTGACGAGCTAGGAAACTCTGGTTTGTCAAACAGCAATGTATTTTTCGTATCTCGTGTTTGCTACAAACATAAAGTGTTTGAAGGAAAAGCAGCGACTCGAATTGGGTGCGAAAACACGAAAATATCAGAGGCGAAGCATTTACATCGAGCGTTGAGCAAAGTTTTACATGGGCCAAATTTCAATGAGCGGCTTATTATTAGATAAAAGAAAACTTGATTTAAATGAAAACAAATAACTTTATATTGTAAAATTACATAAATTTTGCGAAAATGTTCTTTAAATTGTACAAAATATGACTAAATTTTCAAGCCGTATTAAGCTGAAAATTTTTAGGCTGCGGCGTCTTTGACATTTTGTTCGGCGGCTAGGCTTAGTCGGCTTAAGCCGATTTGCGCAAGTTTCTCTACAGGATGACTCAAAAAAATTCAAAAGATACGAACTTTTTACAACCATGTGTTTGTTATGATTTTAAACGTCATTATCACGTATTGTTTTTATAAAAATCCGCATTTTACAACGTTTACCCGAAATTTAGAGAAATTTCATTGAAAATTAGATACATTTTTAATTAAAAATATATTCTTAAACTAAAAAACTAATTCCCACACCCCAACAACATGGAGCGTCCACAAAAAATGCCGAAAGTGGCTAAGGTAAGTAAACAACATAATATCTCTACTTTCATATCCACTAATAGGCTTTTTATACATCTTACAGGTCAAAAATAAAGCTCCCGCTGAGGTACAAATTACCGCCGAACAGCTCTTGCGGGAAGCTAAAGAACGTGATTTGGAAATTCTACCACCACCGCCCAAACAAAAAATCTCCGATCCCGCTGAATTGGCAGATTATCAACAACGCAAACGTAAAGTTTTTGAAGATAATCTGCGTAAAAATCGCATGGTAGTTAGTCATTGGATCAAATATGCCCAATGGGAAGAATCACAAAAAGAGATACAACGTGCTCGTTCGATTTGGGAGCGAGCTCTGGACAATGACCATCGTAATGTTACTATATGGCTTAAATATGCCGAAATGGAAATGAAAAATAAACAGGTTAATCATGCTCGTAATCTGTGGGATAGGGCCGTCACAATAATGCCTCGCGTTAACCAATTCTGGTATAAGTATACTTACATGGAGGAAATGTTGGAAAATGTGGCTGGCGCCAGGCAGGTTTTTGAAAGATGGATGGAATGGCAACCAGAAGAACAGGCCTGGCAAACGTATGTTAACTTTGAACTACGTTACAAGGAAATTGATCGTGCTCGTGCTATATACGAACGTTTTGTATATGTACATCCTGATGTCAAGAACTGGATAAAATTTGCCCGCTTTGAAGAGTCCCATGGCTTTATACATGGAGCTCGTAGGGTATTCGAAAGAGCTGTGGAATTCTTTGGCGATGATTATATAGATGAACGTTTATTTATAGCATTTGCTCGTTTTGAAGAAGGTCAAAAGGAACATGATCGTGCTAGAGTCATATACAAATATGCCTTGGATCATTTGCCCAAGGATCGTACACAAGAGCTGTACAAAGCCTATACAATACACGAAAAGAAATATGGTGATCGTGCTGGCATTGAAGATGTTATAGTATCGAAAAGAAAGTTTCAATACGAACAGGAAGTGGCCAATAATCCTCAGAACTATGATGCCTGGTTTGATTATTTAAGATTAATTGAGGGTAAGTTATTAAAAAATGTAATAGTGCCATATGTAAATTAAAATTATTTAAATTACCGCTTTCAGGAGAAGGTGATGCTGATCTCATACGGGAAACTTATGAACGTGCCATTTCAAATGTGCCACCTGCAAATGAGAAAAACTACTGGCGCCGCTATATTTATCTATGGATTAACTATGCCCTGTATGAAGAACTTGAAACCGAAGATTTGGAACGCACCCGCCAAATATACAAAACCTGCCTAGAGTTGATACCACATAAAAAGTTTACCTTTAGTAAAATATGGCTTATGTATGCTCAATTCGAAATAAGATGTAAAGATTTACAAAAGGCACGTAAAACTTTAGGTATGGCTATTGGTATGTGTCCCAGAGATAAACTATTCCGAGGCTATATAGAACTTGAAATACAGTTGCGTGAGTTTGATCGTTGTCGTTTGCTGTATGAGAAATTTTTGGAATTTGGACCAGAAAACTGTGTGACCTGGATGAAATTTGCTGAATTGGAAAATCTATTGGGTGACACAGAACGCGCTAGAGCCATCTACGAATTGGCAGTACAACAACCGCGTCTAGATATGCCCGAACTGCTGTGGAAGGCTTATATTGACTTTGAAGTTGCTCAAGGTGAATCCGAATTGGCACGCCAGCTCTATGAAAGACTATTGGAGAGAACGCAACACGTTAAGGTTTGGATGTCTTATGCTAAATTTGAGTTAACTTCACAGTTGGGAGAAGATGATGCAGACATGAATCTACGATTGGCCCGTAGAGTTTATGAAAGAGCTAATGATACTTTACGTCAATTGGGCGATAAGGAATCTAGAGTTTTACTTTTGGAAGCTTGGCGTGACTTTGAACGCGAGTCGGGTGATCAGGACAGTTTGGAAAAAGTTATGGAGAAAATGCCCAGACGTGTCAAGAAAAGACAAAAGATTATTTCGGAATCCGGTGTGGAAGAGGGTTGGGAAGAAGTATTCGATTACATATTCCCCGAGGATGAAATGGCCAGACCTAATCTTAAACTTTTGGCGGCCGCTAAAATGTGGAAAAAACTTAAAGAAACTGGCGCTAGCACTACAGAAACACAAACGAATTTTGAAGCCACTAGTGTGGAAAGCAATAAAACTGGTTATGAAGCAGAAGCCAAAGAACCGGAAAATAATGCTAACAGCGATACACCGGCAAATGCGGAAGAGTCTGAAAGTAGAGAGGATAAGGATAATGAGAATGCGTCACCTAAGCAAACTGCTGCTAATAATAATGATAATTCTCCAAATGCAGGCTAATATACAGAAGGCATTTGTTTATTTAGTTTTAAGTAAGGTAATTAATAAAATTTATAATTTTATTTACTTTATTTTTTTTGCAACAAGTGCTTGGTTAAATATTCTTGTGAAATGAAGTGAAGCAGTGAAGTGAAGTGTGTTACTAAATTTTAACAAAAACAATTAATTTTTGTCATCAATAAATGTTGGTCGAGCAAAATCTGGAAAATCCAAGATGATGTTTCTCAAGCAATATATTTTAACAAACAATTGCAACTAAAAGCATAATGTGTAAATACTTTGTAGGCAACAGACTCTATTAAAGGGTAATTATTTAAAGCGCATTAATAGAGTAAATGTGGAATAAGCGTATTTCATTAGCTGCAATAAAAAATTTAATTAATAAATAAAACCATTTGCTATAAACTCAACTTCACCTGCACAAATGTGGGCAAATCAACTGGTATATAAGAGCCAGCATAAATAATCGAATGTCTTTGCGTGCGCATCAAAGTTATCAACAAATTCTTTTTAAAACTAGGCTCCTGAGCCAACCAGCCACAAGAATAGAAGGCATAAGTTAAATTCCAACTTTGAGTACTCATGCAATGACCAAAATAGCATATAATAAACACCTCCAAAGTAACAGCTACAAAGAAGATTATCGATAGAATTTGAGCACTATAATCAGCAGCATCCACAACATATAGAAAGTGTAAACCAACGGTGCACTGAACCAAAGCCGAACAAACAAATTGAGCTAGACAAGCTTTCGAAATGATATTTTCAATAATGGTAAATAGTCTAGATAAAGAATTAATTAGAATATTTAAAATTAAAGGGAAAAAATTAGAAATACTTTAAGATATTGTTATAATCCTTAATACATGCATTAAATTCATGTAAGTTTCTCAAACGTTCCTCTTTAGTTAGCCATACATGTTCTTCTTCGTCTTCCTTACGACCTATAGCTCTAACACGCACCTCCAAAGCTTTCATTTGAGCCGTTAATATAATAAGATACGCGGGAGGATAGGAATCATTAGCACAATTTTGTAATGCTTGTACAATAAGACCAAACAATTGATAGATCATTACTATGATATACATAAAAGTATTATCAAACCAATTGACTCCAAACCAGGCAGGATATAATAAACAACGTTCTTGGGCAAATATAACCTTGAAAATACTTAAACCTGTACCCACCATATACAGGCGCACGAATATTAAAAATGATAATTGCGAAATTCTAATGGCATCTTTGAGAATTTTCTGTTCTTCCAAATTGTTAGCTCTCCTATCCAGCTTACCCAGTATAGCCTTAATTCTTTCCAAATCCTTACGCACCAAATAAACATTAAGAAATTTCAAATTAGCTATAGTATCCGTTATGGTAATGGTTAAATTTTCACACAATTGTTGGGTATTTTGAGCGAAAAATACATTAACAATTAAGGTCAAAGGAAATAGAAAGGTGACCACAAAGTTTATAACCACTGCATAAATGCGATAGACTTGTAAATTGCTCTGCTTAGGAGCTTTAATACCCATCCAATGCCATACTTTCCAATGATAGTAAAAAGCCATATTAGTATCTGGTTGCTGACCGCTAAGTTCCATAATAGTTAATCTTTTCACTTTGAATTTCCAGGAGGTTTTAATTTCAAATGAAGGAATGTAGCAATATTTTATTCTTTAATTGGAATTGTAGTTTTGTTATAAAACTTTTGTGCAATAATTTGCATAATAGTTTTTAACTGTATGTATTTGCAAACAATTGTTTTAATTAGAAAAGTTTAATAATTTAATTAAATTGTTTTAAATTATTATTTTGTAAATGTAATGGACATGAAATCTTCTTTATATTAGAAGGAAAACACTTAAGTATAAAATGTTCGAAAATTAGAACTTGTTTTCGAATTTGTTTAAATCTCTAGATTTTTTATTTTTATTTTCCAACTTCAAAATCTAAACATTTTCTGGAAATTTTAAATATTTTTAACAAAGTTTGTGAATATAAGCTTTTTAGGTTATGTTCGAACATTTTCGAAAATTCGAACTTATATTCGAAAAAATTTTAAATTTGTTAAAATAATTCCTAAAAATACAGTTTTAGTTTTATTCGACCACAATATTTTTGTATTTTCCACTTTCGAACTTAAAATTTTTGAAAATAATTCAATAATTTTCTAGAATTTTGAAGTATTTTTAATATAGGTTATGAATATAAGCATTTTAGGTTATGTTCGAAAATTTTCTAAAATTCGAAAAAATTTTAAAGTTGTTAAAATAATATACAGATCATGAGGGTTTATTAAAACACAATTTTAGTTTTATTCGAACACAATATTTTTGTATTTTTCACTATCGAACTTTAAAATTTTGAAAATAATAGTGAATTTTTAATGAAGGTTATGAATATAAGCATTTTAGGTTATGTTCGAAAATTTTCTAAAATTCGAACTTAAGTTCGAAAAAATTTTAAAATTGTTTAAATAATATACAGATCATGAGGCTTTATTAAAATACAATTTTAGTTTTATTCGAACACAATATTTTTGTATTTTCCACTTTCGAACTTTAAAATTTTGAAAATAATAACAACATTTTCCTGAATTTTTAAGTATTTTTAATGAAGGTTATGAATATAAGCTTGTTAGGTTATGTTCGAAAATTAGAAACTTAAGTTCGAAAACATTTTTAAATTTTTGAAATAATCTGCAGATCATAAGGATTCATACAAATATACATAATTTTAGTTTTATTTGAGCATAAATTCTTGTATTTTCCACTTTCGAACTTGAAAATTATGAAAGAAATTTCGAAATTTTCCAGAATTTTGAAGTTTTTTAATAAAGTTTATGAATACAAGCTTTTTAGGTTATGTTCGAAAATTCGAACTTAATTTCGAAAAAATTTTAAAATTCTTGAAATAATCTAAAAATACAATATCAATTTTATTCGAACACAATATTTTAGTATTTTCCACTTTCGAACTTTAAAATTTTGAAAATAATTACAAAATTTTCACAAATTTAAAGTATGTTTAATAAAGGTGATGAATATAAGATTTTTAGGTTATGTTCCAAATTCGAACTTAATTTCGAAAAAAAATTATAAAGCTGATCATAAGGATTTATAAAAATATAATTTTAGTTTTATTCGAAAACAGTTTCTAGCATTTTCCACTTTCGAACTTTACAATTTTGAAATTAATAACAAAATTTTCCCGAATTTCGAAGAATTTTCAAAAATTCGAACTTAATTTCGAAATTTTTTTTTAAATTTTTGACATAATCTCTATATATTGAGGATTCATAAAAATATAATTTTAGTTTTATTTGAGTTAAATTTTTAGCATTTTCGCTCGAATTTAAAAGTTTTGAATTTAGAAAAAATTTCAAAAGTTTCAAAATAATTCTAAAGTTTTTCTTGAATTTCAAAATAGTTTCAAAATAATTCTAAAATTTTTCTTGAATTTTGATGTATTTTTAAGCCAGTTTATAGGTTATGTTTGAAATTTTCGAAATTTCGAAAATAATCATTTAAAAAGTCACATTTGAATATATTTCAACATTTAAAAATTCATGTTTAGTTTTATTTTTTAATATAACAAATTATGTAGTTAATATCTTAAACAATATGTACTTTTTTTTTATTAAAGGATAATATAAGTAAAATTAAGGAAAAAAAAAGTAAAAAAAAACTAAAAAATTTAAAACTGAATTCAATTCATAATACAAAAATAAAAAATGTGAGGATTAAACATTTGCCCATTAAAAACTTTGTTAAATTCATTATTGCGTTTTCTCTAAATACAGGAAATTTACACATATTTTTCAAAATTTATAGAGATGCTAAAACTACTAAATATTTGTAAAGAAAAAAAATGGGAAAAAAATAAATATCAAAAAAAAAAAAATATATATATATATATATATATTATTATATACCAAAGAATATTAAATTGAGATAAAATCGTTAGAGAGTTTAATTTTAATATTATGTAGTTTGTCTACTATCCGATTGATTTTTACAAACTTTAACTATGACCATCTTCCAGTGGCGTGCCTGACATATTTCCGAACAATAAGCAGCACGAAAGCAACATAAATAAATGGCTTCTTCCAGACACCAATAACACTAAAAATTTATGATAAAAAAATAAGCTTAAATGTGAAATTTTAACTTGTTTTCTCATACCCATTGTTTACGTTTCAGTATTTTACATTCCATTTCTTGTTTCTTAATGGTTTCTTTTAATTTACGCTTTTGAGCTTCCAGTTTTTCATTTTTCTGTTTATATTCATTTATAACTTTATGAGCATTCTCCAGTTCATTTAACTAAAATTTAAAGAAATTAGTTTCATTCTTAACAATTTTATATTTTTAAACATTTACCATTTTAAGTCGATCATCGTTTTCTGTTAACTTAATTGTTTTACGGGTTGAACGTTTACTACTATTATTGTTATTGTCTTCCTTAGTATTAATATTATTTAAATTATTAGTTTTCAAACGTTTTAACGATACTGATACTTCAGTACACAAAGTCGTTTGACTGTTGGTTAAAA